GCTGTATGGCCACATGTATCGTACTAGTATAGCCGTTCGAAGTGAACGCATTCGATTCGTTCTGTTTAACAGCTCAAATTTATTCACTCACACAATCGCACATGACAAAATGATTATCGAAGTAGAGGGAGGCGATTTCAACTTAAAATCGATCCAATTATAACTTCTAATCCTTACAATTAGGAATTCTCTCACAATCAGGACTCGAACTTTAGTCTCGAGCTCATTCTCGTTAGAAGTTTTTGCTGGAGAATATCATCGATCGCAATTTTGCAAACATCAGTATGATTGTATCGTGGACTTAATGAATGAATCAGGCGGTCTTGAAATGTCGGCAAACCTCTGCCTGAGCTCTGAAGACTTCGGATTTTATAGAAATTAATGAAGAAAATCAAGAATTACAAGTACATCATAAGAACAGTGCGAGTACAATTGTTCAGTTGCACTTTTCTATCGTATGCAGTTTGTGGCAACTTGACCTATCAGGGAAAGTCGTAAGATTCCGACGAATGCAGTGTGTGGAAAAACTGTGGAAGTACATTTTTTTGAAAGATTCCTTTAAGCTTCAGGTTCCCTGGAGATCACTCGGAAATTCGTTTATTTAGATATTGAATGTATTTGTGTGTTGTGTGAGATTTCGAGATAGGTTCACCTCTTGCAAATGCTGCGCAATTTTCCAATGGAACCACCAACGTTCAAGTTATGTAATGAATGCAAATTATTTCTCAGAGCAGCAGGAATTATTCGAACCATTTAGCGACTCGAAATTGCTAGTTGAACGGTTCCATTCGCTTATTTCAACATTATAGTTCCATCCAGCTTGGACTTCTTCTCTGCCTGATTGGAAGTAAACGGGATAATGTCCGACGCCAAAAAAGTGGCTGCAAATGCTAATGGCACAAACAAAACACCGTCTGAGCCGACGGCGAAATCGAGCACAACAACACCTACTGGCCCTCCACAGCAATCGGCGACAAACCCACTCGATCAGATGCCCGACTATGAGATTCCCGCATGGGCGAGTAAACCACCGAACGGTTGCCATTTGGATGTGGTCAAAGGCGACCAACTTATTCAGGTTTTTGCTTTATAATTTCGTTTGGTTTATGATTTGTATCGTATCAAATTATTATATTTCTTATTGTTCATTTAAAATGCATATTATTGAATGCTGTGTATTTATTGCTGTAGTCGAATGACTGGACAGTTTATTCACTCCATCAATGATTACTCAATTCTCACCGCAGCAAATTGTTAGGGTTATATGACCTGCTGCCATCCTTCAATATTATCCTGTCATCATAATCCTTATTTGTTATCTTTTACTGTTATGTATTACAACGAAGAATATATTTGGGTTCAATTTGGAACAGCATTTTTTAAAATTTAATCGTGTTTATCGTTGCTTCTTTGTTTCATGATTAAAGGGTACTGATACTCATGGTTTTCTTTTACTCGCTTAGGTGAGTCAGTAATTTTTTTTAGAAATTGATGATCGACGAGAAACGAGCGTATTATTTTGGTCGTAATCCGAAACTTTGTGACTTCGTTGTTGAGCACGCTT